GGTTCTATGGAAAAGCTGTAAAAGTACCATGTACAGGATCACAAAGCAATTCGCAACAAATAATGAAAATTCAATATCTTTAGATCTAATTGTATGTAGTAAAAAGACAAAAGCATGTCAGATAGAAGGGGATGGGTGAAGCAGGGAAGTATGAGCTCTAATGTTTTATTTGAGACAAAGGAAGAAAGGAAAGAAGGAAGGAGGAAAAGAGGAAAGCATTGAAGGAAGAGGAAAGGAAATTTCTCTTAAGTGGTCCAAAAAATAATCTGCATACATAATATAGACAGACAAGGAGAAGCAAGCGTGGTAAAAGTGTGAAAAGTGTGTGGGAACTCTTTGTGATACTTTTTCTGGTTTTCTAAAAGTCTGAAATTATGTTATAATTTCAAAGATTTGTAGCAATTACAATAATATCAATTTATGGGTAAAGAAGTATCACATTATCTCTTTTTTAAGTTTATTTTATTTATTTCGAGAGAGCAAGCAAGTGGGGAGGGGCAGAGAGAGAGAATCCTAAACAGGCTCTGCACTGTCAGCCGCGCCCGATGCAGGGCTCAGACCCACAAAACCACGAGATCATGACCTGAGCCGAAACCAAGAGTTGGACATTTAACTGACTGAGCCACCCAGGCGCTCCCACGGAAAGACATTTTCACTAAGTGTGACTGATGGTAGAAAATATTAGGCAGAGTAATGAAGTGGTAAATTGTACTTTTACAGAACCACACTCCACTTTGGTTATTCTATGGAAAACAGAAAATAGTGGGGCGCCTGGGTGGCTCAGTTGGTTGGATGTCCAACTTCGGCTCAGGTCATGATCCCATGGTTCATAGGTTCAGGCCCCTCATCAGCTCTCTGCTGTCAGCACGGAGCCCGCTTCAGATCCTCTGTCACCTTCTCTGTCTGCCCCTCCCCCATGCGTTTCTCTCTCTCAAAATAAAAAAATAAACTTGAAGAAAAGAAGAATAGAAAATAGAGACGTAAATGCAGGGAAACCAATTAAGAGGTTATTACAGTATTCCAGATAACAAATAATAATAATGGTAAAGTGTTGAGAGCATTTGTGATTTTTTGAGAGAGAGAGAGAGAGTGAGAGAGACAGAGAGAGAGAGAAAGAGAAGGGGCAGAGAGAGAAGGAGAGAGAGAGAATCCCAAGCAGGCTCTACACTGTTGGCGCAGAGCCCAACTCAGAGCTTGAACTCACAAATCATGAGTGACCTGAGCCTAAATCAAGAGCCAGACGCTTGGGGTTCCTGGGTGGCTCAGTCGGTTAAGCATCAGAGTTAGGCTCAGGTCATGATCTCACAGGTTGTGGGTTCGAGCCCCGCGTCAGGCTCTGTGCTGACAGCTCAGAGCCTGGAGCCTGTTTCAGATTCTGTGTCTCCCTCTCTCTCTGACCCTCCCCTGGTCACGCTGTCTCTCTCTCTCTCTCTCTCAGAAATAAATTAAAAACATTTTTTAAAAAATTAAAGAGACACTTAACCGACTGAGCCGGCCAGGTGTGCCATATTATCTTTTTTTACCTTTTAAGTATTTAATAACTAAACGATAAAAAGAAAACAATTAAAATCAAGCATAGCAAATTGTAAGAGGAACCCCTGATGTCAGAAGAGACAAGTCGGTGGTTCCCCCACAGAAGACTGCCTTTGTGTGACCTGAAATCAGGAGCTCCCAGGGGGCTGGGCGCCCAGAAGGGGCCGCGGGCGTGGCCCCCACTCTGCTCTGCAGCTGCGGGGCCTGTGCAGGAACCAGCTGCCTGAGTCTGCAGCCCGGGCTCCACATCCTGTTTATCTACATTTGGCACTTTTTCTCTGTGACAGGATAAACAGATTAATAAACATTAAGACACACCGAAGAGTATGGACCCATCATTCAGTTTCTGCCCATGTTGTCAAGTCACTATTTATAGGATGCTCACTGTAAACAAAGCCCTGGATATAGTAGAAAAGTATAAAAAAGCTACAAGATGGGGCCAAATGCTCACTCCAAACCCACAACGTGACAGAGAAAGGAAAGGCATGGGTGCCTCCGCGTGCCAGAGGGTTTACCTTCATTTTTGCTGCCTCATTTAATTTCCATACCAATTCTGTGAAAGAGATTTCATTATTCCTATTTCATGCAAAGGGAAGCCCAGAGAAGTCATTAACTAGCGCAAATTACACAAGCACTAAGTTTAGGCCCGCCCTATTCCAAAGTCCGTGCTTTTTCCACGTCACCATGCTTATTAAAGTCACAGAAACGTAAATACTGTAAAATTTCACTTACTCAACACTCTTGGGGATGAGTCATGCTGGACAGATGAGTAAGTAAAAGGCCATTCTCTAGGCAACGTTGTTCAAAACCTTCTAAGGTTAGAGCAGAGAACACGCTTGAAGCCTCTTCCCCAGAGGATTTTCTTCCCTGCATTTCTTTTCCCTCCTGGGCTTCCGGCATTTGAAGCCCAGGCCCCCTGGTGTCTGCCATGTTCTCCCTGAAAGTTCCGGCAGAAGACACCCCAAGATTCCTTTTTCCTTTCTGCCCTTTCAGAGTACCAATGAGACAGACTGGAGATTCAGAAATAATTTCAGTACATACAAAGGGAAAACAAAACAAGAAATATTTACAGAAAATACAACCAGTGTAAAAACAGGTGGATTTCCAAAGCACAGTTTTCTGATACCAGATTGGGTTGGGCACCCACTCGGTCCTGAAAGTTAGAACACTGCACCTCGGTCGCGAAGGGCGGTGTGGCTCTGCGGGCCTGTGGCTCATCTCCTTCCTCAGCGGTTGCTATCTCCTGATCAAGCACCGTACAGTGTCTATCTTGTCCTTAGTCCTAGAAATGGGTCTAACAATTCATTCTATTCCTTCCATATTTAATCACTCTGAATTTTAAGTTCCTCATCTTTAAAAAAAAAAGGGAATACAAGTATCCGAGGGATCACATGGAGAGATCATGGAGGCATGTGGTACATAGTAGACACTCTTAAGTTACTTTTCTTCTCTTCCCCCTCTGTGCACATGTGCATCAGCATCATCATCCTGACGATAGCAATAGCTGATGGTTTGCATTTACTACGTTGTAGACACTGTTCTAAGCATTTTACATCATCAATTAGTGTAATCCTCATCACAATCTTATGAGGTACAATGACCACTTTCATTTTAATGAAAACACTTTCAGTTAAAAGCTGGGACTCCGTCTAACCAGTTGAGGTCCAGAACCAGTGCTTCTAACCACTGCGCTACACCACACACACGGGGGACTCCTGGGTTGACAGCTAGCCTGCGGACCTTCACAGGTCCCTCCCCTCGCTTCCTCTAGAAGTTGACACCAGAGCAAGAAGAGATAGAATACAGGGAACATAAAAAAGATTCCATGAGTGTATACAATCATATCTAGTGACATAATATACAGTGAAAGGTGCAGCAACTTTATAATCATGGGTACTGTTTGAATTCTTAGACCAGGCATTCAAGACTTCCAAAATCAACTTTAAAAACATGTGTAGGGACACCTGGGTGGCTCAGTCAGTTAAGTATCCGATTTTGGCTCAGGTCATGATCTCGTGGTTCGTGGGTTCGAGCCCCATGTCGGGCTCTGTGCTGACAGCCAGCTCAGAGCCTGGAGCCTATTTCAGATTCTTTGTCTCCCTCTCTCTCTGACCCTCCCCTGCTCACACTGTCCCTCTCTCTCTCTCACAGAAATAAATAAAACATTAAAACATTTTTCAAAAAAAAATACAAAAAAACCCACATCCAAATGTGTAAAGGTAGATTCATTTGGGGGGAAGCATTACCAAGCATAAGTAACTTTGGAAACGAATTTTATGTAGGAGGAAGTTATTGTGGGTTTTTAAAAAAGTTTTTATTTATGTATTTTGAGAAAGACAGAGAGAAAGCGGGGGAGGGGCAGAGAGAAAAGGAGAGAGAACCCCAAGCAGGCTCCGCGCTGTCAGCACGGAGCCCAGCACAGGGCTTGAATTCGTGAACCGCGAGATCATGACTTGAGCCAAAATTAAGAGTCAGACGCCCAACCAACTGAGCCACCCAGGCTCCCCAGGGGGAAGCTTTCTGCTTGTTGCTTATTTTAATGTCAGTTAAACTACATTAAAACAATAGCTTACCAGTAAGTAGTGAATATTTTCCCATATCATTAGGACAGTGATTAAGAACAAGGGTTCAAGAGCAGACATGGGTTAAATTCCAGCAATACTACTTCACTAGCTGTTAGAACTAATGTTTTCTCTTCTATGAATGGGAATGATACCTGTCATCCAGGGGTATTCTGAGGCTTAAGACAATACAGTAAAGGTGACTGGTACAGTGCCAGATGCGTCACAAGTACTCAATAAGGTAATTTTCTTTCTTTTTTTCTAAATATATATTTATTTTGGGGAGAGCGCCGGGGAGCGAGGAGCAGATAGAGGGGGACAGAGGAACCTAAGCAGCCTCTGCACTGACAGGGTGTCAGCAGCGAGCCCGAAGCTGGGCTCAGACTCACAAACTGTGAGATCACGACCTGAGCTGAAGTCAGACCTCACCTGACTGAGGTGCCCTGGCAATTCTCTTTTCATAACACCACTGTGCTGGCCAACGAGTACTTCTATCTTACGGCTGTGCCAGGGTCCGCTTAACCTGTCTCACGCTGTTAGAAATCTGGAACATTTTCAATACTATTAATAAGCAATATCAAAATTTCCCCATACATTTCTGATCATTTCTTTAGGGTTAAATCTTATAAGTGATTTAGCGAATCAAAGAACATCCACATTGTAAACTTGTGACACACATTATCATATTATCAACCACTGTATAGTTTTACTAAGTTAATCTTTACTATATATTGAAGGGACTTTGTCAACTCTTGCAACAATAGACATTTTAAAGGAATATGCTAATTTTACGGGTCTCCCGAAATCTCATGTTGTTATTTATAAGATGTTTCAATTTCTTCTTTTGTTAAATTATAAAGGTCCTAGGCTCCCATAAATTAAAGTATGAGGCTGGCAGAAAAATAATCGAGATGCGTAAACATTTTAATGTAGCATATTACAGACGGGGCATTTCAAGCCTTTTATGAGGGGGTGAGTTTTTCCAATGGTTTTCAAAGTACACCCTTTGGGGAGGGTGGGGATGGGGCAAGTTGGAATACCTCTCGCTCGTTCCCACTCCAGTCATATTGGTCAGTGTTATACATTGAGCTTATTGGTAAGTTGATCGGAAGGGTTCTGGACCTGAAAACAAAACCAAAAACATATTTAATGCAAGGTTTTGGGACAACTGGTATCCTGCAATACCAAACAAATAGATAAATAAAATCAGTTGAATCTTTCCCTCACATCCTATGCAAAAATACATGTAAGCTGGATTAAAACATTAAATGGAAAAAACCCTCCAAAACTGCCAGAGAAAATGGTGAGCATTAACTCCTCTTCAAGCACACTGATGAAAGGAGAGGGCATGATGAGAGGCACTATCCCTCGGTGTCGGTTTTTCCTAAAAATGTGTGCCTCTGACACCGATTCAAATGTTGTGGCAAACAAAGTGCAGAAATGCTACATATGAATAATAGGGCCAAGCGTGGCGTGGGCATTACCACCCGGTACCCCCATCAACACACCCAGACTGCCCCAAAACGTACACTGTGAACAAAATAACATGCAAAATGAGAAATGCAATACATTCTAGTATCTTCCGCTGCAAGCAGACTCCTGCCATTAAGCCCTTCTTCTCCCTAGACCTTCTGGAGGCATCACTGCTCTTTCTCTGGAGTCTCTGTGTCCTCAGCATAGAAAGGCTCTGAAAAGTCCTCAACAGAAAAAGAAGAAAACTTTATTGACTCATTGTTTCCTAAACTTACTTCACTGTAGAACCCTCCCCTCAACATGATACCCATTAGTAGCCATAGAATTTGTGGAGCACACTTAGCAAATGCCAAGCTGAAAAGTAACCTATGAGTGGGAAAACGCTAGGCAAGGCGTGTCATGAAGACACACTGTCCATTTATTGCGATTTTACCAATGACCAAATTGCGATGTTGTGATCTGCTGACACCTAGTGCTGATGCTTTTAGTCCACGCATACATAATTTTCAATATCTGGCGCCTCAATAAAAACCTCAATAAAAACCCCTGCTTGCAGATTGCCTTGGATTTATATTCTTGTACATCATAATTATAACACACTTATATCTTGGAATATTATGCAAGGATTCATGTAAATGATCTAAAGGACTAAGAAAGGGTGCTGCCTTGTACCGTTGCTCTTCCCTTACCCACTCACGTGTCCCATGAGACTATACATATAAAACAAATGTGTCGAGTAATGCTTGTTCTGACTCTTTACGTCATACCCATGAAAGGAACTGCATTAGACTGTTTAGGGAATTTCTCAGACAGAGAGATCAGGCCATTCTACAAAAACTCAAGATTATTACTGGGATGAGGATAAAGTGCTTCTTTCCGTAAACTCTGGAATTTCACTTTCTTTTACTCCCCAAATCCCTTTGAGTCCTAAGTAAAGGGGAAAAAAAAAGGAAGAAGGGAAAGTGATATAACACAGTGACGGGCATTCTCCTGCCCCATACACATTGGTTGTTTGGTCTAGACATTTAAGATTAATGTTAATTTGAATTGTAAACTGTTAGGCTTATAAATCTTAAGATGCAATTTCTGACCTATATTAAATGTGTCTCTGTATGTTTACTTTAATAATGTCGATGCAAATGAAACCTGTTTGCACAAATACACTGCATTAATACCTTCCAGGTTTCCTGCTGCTAGTTTGAGAAGATTAGATCACATAGTTCAATAAAAATTCTAGTGCTACAAATCCTGGAATGCCAATTTTATTTTTTTATTTTTATTAAAAAAAATTTTTTTTTAATGTTTTATTTATTTCTGAAAGAGACAGCATGAGCAGGGGAGGGTCAGAGAGAGAGGGAGACACAGAATGTGAAGCAGCTCCAGGCTGTGAGCTGTCAGCACAGAGCCCGACGCAGGGCTCGAACCCACGAACTGCAAGATCATGACCTGAGCGAAAGTCGGATGCTTAACCGACTAAGCCACCCAGGCGCCCCTGGAATGTCAATTTTAATTGAGTATCATCTGATAACTGTAAAGCAGTCACTCATTATAAGATAGGGTCAGTATTTTTGAGTATTTGACATTCTCTTTTTAAGGAAGCTCTGTAGCCAACATGGGCATGGACTCAGGACCCAGAGATCAAAAGTCACATCCTCCACCAACTGAGCCAATCGGGCACACCCCACTTTAAGTACAACATCTTAATTAAATAGTATCTAATCCGATTATTGCTGGAAACCATAAAACAATTCCTTACTGGGTATTTACTAGTTCACGTACAGCTACTAAGTTCCAAATATACCAAAGTGTGTGTTTGTGTGTGCACACACACGCGTGCTTTGTGCAATCTCTATTTCTAACTGGAATATGGCACTGGCAGGTAAAGTCCTAGTTCTTTTGAGTTTGGCAAGTCTAGGCTCTTGTGTCCCATGCGATGACCCAACTCTATCAAAATGACTGTGAAATCTTTATCTACACATTTTGTCGTGATGTCCTTTGGTTTTCACCTGATACAAACAAAATCCTAAACTCTACCTGAATGCAGGCACTCAAAACTTCATGTTTTAAGGTGCTCATTTGGGAAGTCATAATCTTGTTTTAGATTAGTATCAAAATAACAAAAATTTTCAAAAGTTTTTAGAGAATTTGTGGATTTTCAATAAATGCATACTTCGACCTCAGGCTGAGAAACACTGCCATGGATGACAGCCATTCATTCATTCAACAGTATTTAGTGAGGCTACTGTGTGCCTGGCACAGGGAATCTAACAATCAACAAACTGCCTGCCCTTATGAAGAGCCTTACAGTCTAATGGCGAAGGAGGACAACAGACAAGTGATTATATAATTTCAGATAGTGATTAGTGTAAAGAAAGTGAGCAGGATCCAGAAATGGAGACTGAAAGGGGCAGAGGTGCTGGTCTACAAAGTTTGGCAGGGACGGCATCTTGCTGGAGCTGACATTTGAGCAGACACCTGAAATGAATACCTGGGAAAAGTTTTCCATTCAGAAGAAGAGCAAGTGCAAAGGCCCGGAGACAGGCATGTGTCAGAGTATCTGCGGGTTAACCAGGAGGTCAGTGTGGCAAAGCACTGCGCCAAGGAAATGAATGCCTGAAGTAGCCAAGGTGCCGGATCCCAAAGGGTCCTGTAATGCTGTAGTAATGACTCTGGTGGTTCTTAGGGGGAAATGGGATTGCAGAAGGCATGCTTTAGATAGACCAGAGGTGGAACTCTGGAACTCAGCTCTTTCTTTTACTTTTTAAAAGCAACTTTATTAAGGTATGATTTACACACACAAATGCACCCTTTTTAAGAATTCAGTCAGATGAGTTTGACAAATGTATATATCCATGTCCTCATCACCATAATCAAGATAAAGAATATTTCCATCATCCTAAAAAAGCTCCCTTGTTCCCTTTTGCAGTCAGGCTTCATCCCTTGACCCTGCGCCAGAGCCAGGAACTCATTGGGATTTGGAGAGTCGTTATTTTTAATGAAGACTTGGTAGCTGTATGGACCTAGATCTGTGCTGACAATTGAGAGCCACCAGCCACACGTGGCTACTTAAATTTAATTAAAATTAAATGAGGTTAACTATCCAGTTCCCGGGCGCCTGGGCGGCTCAGTCGTTACACATCTGACTTCGGCTCAGATCATGATCTCGTGGTTCCGGAGCACACGCCCCACATCCGGGAAGCACGTGCCCGCTTCGGGTGAGCCCGAGCCCAGCTTCGGGTGAGCCCCATCTCTCTCTCACTCTCTCTCTCCCTCCCCCTCCTGGGATTTTCTCTTTCTCTGTCCCTTTCTCACTTGCACACTCTCTCGCTCTCAAAACCAAAAAAGCAATTCGGTTCGCAAGTTGCACTAACCACATTTCAAGGGCTACGTGTGCCTAGTGGCTGCCATATTGGGCAGGACAGACATAGCGCTTTTCCATCACTGCAGACAGTTCTAGTTAGCAATGTGCAGGTGTTACCCAGGTGGAAAATGACCTTTGCCACATGAAGGTAGGCTGAGTAGCCTGAAAACTGAGTAAGTCATACAAGTCACATTACCTAGTTTTATGTCACTATTTGTGTTTATTACCTTTATCCCCAAATAATTTAAAAAGCCCACGTATGGGCCAGGGTGTTGGAGGAGGAGCAGTGTTCCCTGGGATGGCATGAGAATGGCAACAGCAATTACGGAGTTGTTTATTACATGGAAATTCCTCCTCCATTACTAAGTTTAAAGGATGTCCTATTTTTATCTATTTTTTAAGTTCATTTATTTATTTTGAGAGAGAGAGCACGCGAGGTAGGGCAGAGACAAGGGAGAGAAAGAATCCAAACTGGGCTCCGTGCCATCAGCACAGAGCCCGATGAGGGGCTCAAACCCACGAATGTGAGATGGTGACCTGAGCTGAAACCAAGAGTCAGCCACTTAACTGACTGAGCCACCCAGGCGCTCCAGGATATCCTGTTTTTATTAAGGGAAATGGTGATTTCTTTTATAACTCATAAGGCACAATTTTGTTTTATGTAAAATTAAATCTCAAAATTATGGTCTTACTAAACTACATATTTTTCTTTTTTGAAAGGGGGGGGTTCAAAGCAAATATGCTTAAATATTAACATATGTTAAATCTGGTAGTGGGTGCATGAGTATTTTTATATATTTTTTCTGTACATTTGAAATGCTTGAAATATTTTAAAAGAAAAAAGTAGGCTTTCATTTTAAATATTGGACAAGAATAGTTAATGTTATCAAGATTGTTCATGATTTGATTAAACAATTCAGGTTAAAAGCAGTACGCACAATAGTATAGCATAATGGTCAGTAGAACAGAAGACTCCGTATAGTAAGCATAATGATTAAGCATACAGGCTCTGGAGCCAGATTGCTTGGGTTTTAATCCTAATTATACCACTTACTAGCAAGGAAACACTGAGCAAATTAAATAACCTCTCTGTGCCTCAGTCCTTATCTGTAAAATAAGTATAATAATAATAGTACCTGGCTCAAAAAATATTATAAGGATTTAGTAAATATATGTAAAGACTCTAGTACATAATAGATCCCTAATTAGTGTTAATTTAAGAGCTACTATGATGATGATGATAATGATACAATTTTGGTTTCTTAAAACTTTTAGAAAAAAGGAAATTGAACAGTCCATTTAAAATGTTAATAACTGGGACGCCTGGGTGGCTTAGTCGGTTAAGCGTCCGACTTTCGCTTAGGCCATGATCTTGCGGTTCGTGGGTTCGAGCCCCGCGTCGGGCTCTGTGCTGACTGCCAGCTCAGAGCCTGGAGCCAATTTCAGAGTCTGTATCTCCCTCTCTCTCTGACCCTCCCCTGCTCACGCTGTCTCTCTCTCTCCTAGAAATAAATGTAAAAATATTAAGAAAAATAAACATTAAAAAAGTTTTTTAAAAAATAAAATGTTAATAACTGTAACCTCTAATTGATAAGACTAATTTTATTTTACTTTTTTAAATTAAAAAAAATTTTAATGTTTTATTTATTTCTGAGAGAGAGAGAGAGCGTGAGCAGTGGAGGGGGAGAGAGAGAGGGAGACACAGAATCCAAAGCAGGCTCCAGGCTCTGAGCTGTCAGCACAGAGCCCGACGTGGGACTCAAACCCATGAACTGTGAGATCATGACCTGAGCCGAAGTCGGATGCTTAACCGACTGAGCCACTCAAGCGCCCCCGATAAGACTAATTTTCTTTTCTTTTTTTTTGCTTATTTTCTAAATGTTCTATGTCAATTCCTGTTGTACTTAAAACAACAGAAACACAACACCAAAGTCTGGGCTTCCCCAGACGTGCTCTACAATCTGATAAACACTAATTTCCCAAGTGTGGTCCTTGGGCCAGCAGTATCAGCAGTACCAGAGAGCTTGGTAGAAATGCAAATTCTCAGGCTCCATCCCAAATATACTCATTCTGGAGTGGAGCCCAGCAACCCATTGTTATATTCGATTCTGATGATCACTACAGTTTGAGAACTACGGTGCTAAGGGATGACCTCTTACTCTATTAGACCTTTCACCTTTACGGAATGAGAAATACTGCTAATCATTCCTCTCCAAATACTCTCTGCAACTCTTATTCACAAAGGCCTCCTTCTACCCTTTGAAATACCCTTCAGGAGTAACTGTCCCCAGTTACTGCCTGACACAGAAACGCAAATACTTTCTGGAGGCAGGCGGGGAATAGGTCTCACGGGGGCCTGGCCTATGACCTTAGAGAGTGAAGTGCTGGCCACTGCACAAAGGGGCTCATGTTCAAAAAAAAAAAAGTTAAACTGCTGCTGGCCAAACAACACATGTAAACCGTGTGGCCACTGGCCACCAGTTTGCACTCACTTGTGGCTAATTCTCTCTCAAATCACTAAGTAGCTGTGCTGTAGTGGAAAGAGTGAGTGCTAAACATGGAAGAGGCTGTGAAGATTGACTTGAAGCCCAGCTCTGCTACTTGCTCGCTGGGTGGTAATAATGATGATGATCATGTTAACCTTCCAGAGTTAAACCTACCTTACAGGACTGTTTTACAGATTAAGATACTTTTCCGAGAAGCACTCATTCTACAACAAGCCCTTACTCAACTTTTCATAGCATTTGTGGTGTTTATTTTCTGATACTGTTTTGACTGATTACATACTTTTTTCTACCCGTATTTATGAACAGTTTAGTTTCGCCTATTTCTTCTATCAGACTGAGTTCCTTTACATCAGGGATGGCCTTCCACATCCCTTCAAGTTCTCACAATAACTACTTCATGAATTAAGTCCCTCATATATCCACCCTCAGCTTCACCAAAAGCTTGTGACTCAAATCTGATTACCTGGGGTAGAGATAGGGGGAACATAGTCAACTCTTAGTACGGATGTGTATTTCACGTGAGAAAGTATATGGCTGACTTAGGACAATCCCCAAAGTTATGATTCCTTTCCTTTTCTAATATAAAAGAGAAAAACAATGATGGTTATTCTCTTGTTAAGTGGATGCCTCTTGCTTTTACCTTTACTGGGTTTGTTAAAAGCAATACAGGAGGGGGGATGGGCACGGAGGGGGGCACTTGGGATGAGCACTGGGTGTTATATGGAAACCAACTTGACAAACTATTTGTAAAAAAAAAAAAAAAAAAAGCAATACAGGAATTTTAGGGGTGCCTGGGTGGCTCAGTCGGATAAGCATCTGACTTTGGCTCAGGTCATGATCTCATGGTTTGTGAGTTCAAGCCCCGCGTTGGGTTCTCTGTTGTCACTGCAGGGCCTGCTTCGAATCCTGTCTTCCTCTCTCTCCACCTCTCCCTCCTTCTCAAAAATAAGTATACATTTTATAAAAAGCAATACAGAAATTTTAGAAATGCCATACTAGAAATGTATGGGGGAAAAGAGGGTTTCAGTTTTAACTGCATTTTGGCAATTCAGAGAGAAGTGATGCTGGGGTAATGGTGGTATCAGCGCAGCTAACATTACGGGCTAAGCTCATTTCCCCATAGGGAATATTGAGATGAGAACAAGAACTATTAGTGAGGTGCCTGGGTGGCTTAATCGGTTAAACATCTGACTTTGGCTCAGGTCATGATCTCACAGTTGGTGAGTCCAAGCCCCTGCATCAGGCTGTCTGCTGTCAGTGCAGTGCCAGCTTCAGATTCTGTGTCCATCTCCTTCTGCCCCTCACTTGCTGGCATTCTCTCTCAAGAATAAACAAACATTAAAAAAAAAAAAAGAACTATTAGAAATCTCATAAAGATCTTGTAAAAGTTATTAGGCAATTACGATCATGGATTTGGGGAAGAAGAGGAAGGACGCATGTGTATCTCACATAAGCAAGTCAGAAGCTTTCTGCACTCCTAAGGCCAATTAAGAAACAGCTTGTCATATTTTATCCTAACAAAATTTTCTTACTTTACAGGTACCCATGCCTTCTAAATGCCTGTAAAAAATAATTCACATATTGAACTTGTCATGGTTAATACACTGCTCCTTTGTTAGCCTTCTTACTTTCTGAACTTCGCATCTACAGACTCATTAAGTAAGTGACTTGCAGGTTAAATGACCCAATTTAATTCTAGAATTGATTGAAAACTCCTTTCCCTCCTATCAAGGCATTTTATTTTTTTCCTTTTAAAAGTATCATTCTGAAAACTAGAACTATAGTTAACAAATGGCTTTAAATGTCAGATTTAGTTTTGGAAGAATATTTCTAACTAATGAAAGTTCCACACAGGGAAATGAACAATTGGATCAGTCAAATGGATTTTGCTGGATAAACCAGCGAAAGGCTACCCATTTTTTAAGTAAGGTGGGAAGTGGTTATTTTGTCAAGTGTGATTTAGAATGACATTCAGATGCAATTTAAAAAAATCTATTTCATTGTTCATATGTTTTATCAGTAAGGAAAATTTAGCTTGGTGATACCAAAACATAAACGTGCATGCCAGTGTGCACACTGCTGTCATTTCTCATGTGTTCTGAGGCTTTCATAATTCAATTTTTTGGATTCTGTATGAGGAAAATAAAATTCCACTGCAGGTGTAACTTCTCAGTAACAGTAGTTAATAATTTCCACTTACTGGGCATATTCAATTTCTCAACTTAAAAATACACAATTAAAAACCAGTTCCAACACTATGTAATGTAGTTACCACCAAACTACTGCCAGAATAGACATAAACAACTTTTCCTGCATGAATTAAGAAAAACCGTACTGAAAATTATCCCCGTCACGATAAGTAACATTACCTATCTTGTATGACGGTAGCATCATTTGTGGGTGGGCCAGGAAGAATTGGGTAAGAAAAGAACATTTAAAGAATTTCTCTTTCAAAAAACTTTTTTTAATGTTTATTCATTTTTGAGAGACAAAAAGAGAGACAGAACACAAGTGGGGTTGGGGTAGAGAGTGAGGGAGACACAGAATCTGAAGCAGGCTCCAGGCTCTGAGCTGTCAGCACAGAGCCTGCCGCGGGGCTCGAACCCACGAACCGGGAGGTCATGATCTGGGCCGAAGTCGGACTGAGCCACCCAGGTGCCCCAAGAATTTCTCTTTCAAACATGTCATTTCTTTTGAAGAAAGCTGTAGACAATAATTAGGGTGAAAGTCAGTACTAATACGCTTTAGGAATGTCTTACAGATGCTTCATTTCAAAGCATCAAATTCTATTTACACAAAAACCCTAATAAGGTAAACAATTCCCTTGGCAGCTACCCAAGACTCAAAAGTCCTCATGTACTGCACTGATGTTTCTATTTTGTGCCAAATGTTTCAGAAACTTCGAGATAGTTCACTTATCTAAGGTTTCAGAAGGCAAGAATTTCCAGAATAAGTGAAAGGGGCTGACTGTACACTAATAATTAAGATACTAACTTTCAATTAACATATCAATGCGTTGTGTATGAAGAGGCAACTTCCAAGCACACAATGAAACAAAGCTGTGCTGCCTCCTTAGGGCGAGACGCCTCGATCACTCCTTGAGTCTCGAAGAGACCCAGAGGCCTAACACGAGGTCTGAGCCTAACAGCTCTCTTCTTCTGTAGAAAGCAGCGTAAAAAGCACTCTCTGGGTCTGAGATGCACTGGTGGTTTGACCTTGGACAAGTCACTTAATTCCTAGTCTGTTTCCATAACTGTAAATGGAGTCAACAATACCTGGTATCGTATCACGGGACGGGTGTGAGAACGAAATGATATATGTGAACATCTTACGTAAACTGTGAAGCAGTAGTAACCGGAAGCTGGTTATTATTTTATATAATACTGGCCTAGCCTTTCCTGCCTATGTGTGTGTCTGCAATACGGGTACGTATCTGGATCTGAACGCCGAACCGTCGCTTACCGGCTGTGTGAACCGAAGGACGTCATTTCCTTCGGGGCATGTTTTCTAACAAGGTTTTGATGAAAGGCAGATGACGCCGTGTTATGTAAAGGCTGCGGCAGAGATACAGTAAGAACTTAGTAAGTGATAGCTGTTCTTATTCTTGAGAAGCGGCTCGTCAGTAGCAAATTATGTCTAGTGACAAGGCTCTGCGTGTATAAACGACTCTACACGCATCCAAAGTACTGCTATTTGTACCGTAAACCGCCGGGACGTACAGGACGCAAATGGCGCCTCCGTGACCCGCGGCACACCAGAGGCACACGGCGGAGAAGGCGCTCAGGCGCCTCAGGGCTCGGAGCAGCGGCAGGAGCGAGGAGACAGAAGACGGGCAGGACAAAGGGCCCGGGAGACCCTCCGAGAACCAGGTCTTTGCTCTCCCCCCTTCCTCTTCCGACCTCCGGCCCGGCGCAGGCCGTTCCGTCACCTTCCCAGCCCGCCACACCGCTGGACACGGACGTACTGTACCTTCTCCACTGAGAGCCCGTCAAGCGCCCTCCCCTCCTACGAGTCGGGAACTTCAGCCCCTCCGCTTCCGACACCCACTCCCTTTAATCCTGTTTTCACCGAGCTTCCCTGCAGCCTTCTCTCCGCCTAAGGGGAAGTGAGGCTGAACGCGCCGCAGGGCATCCTAGGAAACGTGGTCTCTCCTTCACTGTTGCTCGCGTCCCAGAGTGGGGAAGACGACGGAGAAGGTCCAGTTAAAACTACAAGTCCCGGCAGGCACCACGCGCGACTCGCTTCCTTTCTGCCCCCCTTCCTCCTGCCTTCCTCTTCCTCCTCTCCGCGGGGGGCTGAGCCGCAGGGCCTCACGGTATTGTAGTTCTTTGTGGATCCAAGATCCCAGCATCCAGTGGCCGGGAGGGAGGCTGCAAGACTCTAATTCCCAGAGGGCAGAGCGGCGGCTGCGCCTGCGCACTCTCAGTGAGGGCGTGTATGTCCGTGTGTCTGAGGGAGAGAGTGAGCGAGAGTGAGTGAGTGTGAGTGCTGGGTAGGGTGGTGGCCGTTACGTTCGGGGCAACGGCTACGGCGGTGGAGAAGTCAGAAGAGAAACGACGTCTGGCGCTTCCGCCTCCGCCTGGGAGGAGGAGGAGCTGGTGGGGAAAGGAAAGTGATTCGTCCTGGGCCTGGACTGCGCGGAGTCGGGCCGGTGGGCGTCTGGGCTATGAGCCCTTGAGGGTCGCTCGGGACGCGGAGCGAGACGCCAGAGCCGAGAGGCATGTCTCAGCCGCCGCCGCCGCCGCCGCCGCCGCCGCCGCCGCCGCCGCCTCCCCCGGAGGCCCCGCCGACCCCGCCGTCCCTGGCGGCCGCGGCCCCTCCGGGGGGGCTCTCGAAGCGGAGAGACCGGCGGATCCTCTCTGGGAGCTGCCCGGACCCCAAGTGCCAGGCGCGCCTCTTCTTCCCGGCGTCCGGCTCCGTCAGCATCGAGTGCACCGAGTGCGGGCAGCGGCACGAGCAGCGGCAGCTGCTGGGGGTGGAGGAGGTGACCGACCCGGACGTGGTGCTTCACAACCTGCTGCGGAACGCGCTGCTCGGCGTGACAGGCGCGCCCAAGAAGAACACGGAGCTGGTGAAGGTGATGGGCCTTTCCAACTACCACTGCAAACTGCTGTCGCCCATATTAGCGCGCTACGGCATGGATAAGCAGACGGGCAGGGCGAAGCTGCTCCGGGACATGAACCAGGGCGAGCTGTTCGACTGCGCCCTGCTGGGCGACCGCGCCTTCCTCATCGAGCCGGAGCACGTCAACACGGTGGGCTATGGCAAGGACCGCTCCGGGAGCCTCTTGTACCTGCACGACACTCTTGAGGACATCAAGCGGGCCAATAAGAGCCAGGAGTGCCTCATCCCAGTCCATGTGGACGGCGACGGACACTGCCTGGTGCACGCCGTGTCCCGCGCCCTCGTCGGCCGCGAGCTCTTCTGGCATGCCTTGAGGGAGAACCTCAAACAGCACTTTCAGCAGCACCTGGCCCAGTATCAGGCCCTGTTCCACGACTTCATCGATGCCGCCGAATGGGAGGACATTATCAACGAGTGTGACCCTCTGTTCGTACCACCTGAGGGTGTGCCCTTGGGCCTGAGGAACATCCACATATTTGGCCTCGCCAATGTGTTACACCGCCCTATCATTCTGCTAGATTCTCTCAGTGGCATGAGAAGCTCTGGTGATTACTCAGCCACCTTTCTGCCTGGGCTCATCCCTGCGGAGAAGTGCACAGGGAGAGACGGTCATTTGAACAAACCAATCTGTATTGCATGGAGTAGCTCTGGTAGAAACCATTATATCCCCTTGGTAGGCATAAAAGGGGCTGCTCTGCCCAAATTGCCTATGAATTTGCTGCCCAAAGCATGGGGGGTGCCTCAGGACCTTATTAAAAAGTACATTAAACTTGAGGAGGATGGTGGTTGTGTTATTGGAGGAGACAGAAGTTTGCAGGATAAATACTTACTTAGGCTCGTGGCTGCTATGGAAGAAGTCTTTATGGACAAACACGGTATCCATCCTAGTTTGGTGGCCGATGTCCATCAGTATTTCTACAGGAGGACTGGGGTGATAGGAGTTCAGCCTGAAGAAGTTACAGCAGCTGCTAAAAAAGCAGTCATGGATAATCGCCTTCACAAATGTTTGCTCTGTGGTGCCCTTTCTGAACTTCATGTTCCTCCAGAGTGGTTGGCTCCGGGAGGGAAACTGTATAACCTGGCAAAAAGTACTCACGGACAGCTGAGGCCTGACAAAAATTATAGCTTTCCCTTGAACAATTTAGTTTGCTCATATGATTCGGTGAAAGATGTTCTGGTACCAGACTATGGCTTGAGTAACCTGACAGCTTGCAACTGGTGCCATGGCACATCTGTGCGAAGGGTCAGAGGAGATGGGTCTATTGTGTATTTGGATGGGGACAGAACTAATTCTAGGTCCACTGGTGGCAAGTGTGGCTGTGGATTCAAACATTTTTGGGATGGTAAAGAGTATGACAATCTACCAGAAGCTTTTCCTATTACTTTGGAATGGGGTGGAAGAGTCGTCAGAGAAACGGTATATTGGTTCCAGTATGAAAGTGATTCATCCTTGAATAGTAATGTTTATGATGTTGCAATGAAACTTGTCACCAAGCACTTTCCGGGTGAATTTGGGAGTGAAATCCTCGTTCAGAAAGTTGTCCATACTATATTGCATCAGACTGCCAAAAAGAATCCTGACGATTATACTCCTGTAAATATAGATGGTGCTCATGCCCAAAGAGTTGCAGATGTACAAGGACAAGAGGCAGAGTCTCAGCTCCCAACTAAAATTATTCTTACCGGACAGAAAACAAAAACTTTGCACAAGGAGGAGTTAAACATGAGTAAAACTGAAAGAACTATTCAACAGAATATTACGGAACAGGCTGCTGTAATGCAGAAAAGGAAAACAGAGAAGTTAAAACAAGAACAAAAAGGGCAGCCCAGGACCGTTTCTCCTAGTACCATTCGTGATGGTCCGTCCTCTGCACCGGCTACCCCTACCAAGGCTCCCTATTCACCCACCACTTCAAAGGAGAAGAAGATCCGAATAACAACTAATGATGGACGACAGTCCATGGTTACACTGAAGTCTTCAACAACCTTTTTTGAACTTCAGGAAAGCATAGCCAGAGAATTTAACATTCCTCCATATTTACAGTGTATTCGATATGGCTTTCCTCCTAAAGAGTTAATGCCACCCCAGGCTGGAATGGAAAAGGAGCCAGTTCCTTTACAGCATGGTGACAGAATTACAATAGAGATTCTAAAAAGTAAAGCGGAAGGTGGTCAGTCTGCTGCAGCACACTCTGCCCACACTGTGAAACAAGAAGAGATTGCTGTTACTGGTAAACTATCTAAGGAACTTCAGGAGCAAGCTGACAAAGAAATGTACTCCTTGTGTCTTTTAGCAACGTTAATGGGTAAGATCATTTTAACTCAGATGGTATTTCTTAACTGTGAATATTTTTCTGTTGTCTTCATGAAAAACAATCTCTGATCATCATAAAAACTATCTGATTTTATATATATATATATATGATATATATATACACATATATGTATTTAGGAAGAGATGATTTTCTTCATCCTAAGTAGATGGATGTTAGCATGCTTTTCCATTAAGTAAATATTAGGATAACATAACCAAGAAAGTGAAAATAGTCCCTTAACGATCACCAGGTTTTTTGAATATAACTTATTCTTATAATATTTTTAATAGCCTTATAATTTGTCTATTTAAAGTCTTTAAAAATATTTTCCCCCCAGGGCTGTATTGAGCCTGCTCACTTTGTCCCTTTTCATTTATTTTTAAATTTTCTTTTCCTGCATGTCATGTGATTTCAGGACTTCCTGTTTGATGAATTGCAGTTTCTGCTGTTTATATTCTCACTGCACTCCCACCTAATAGTCTCTGTCCTCCATTTCCTCTTCTTCCTTTCCTGGTTCTTCACATTTTTATTTGTACATTAGGATTTGTGTTTTAGTAATTTCCTTGCTCAGTGACTCTTTGCTTTCAAATGTATTAAACTATTATAACTCATGAGAAATATAAGAAACAGAGGTGGATGTTAATAGATTGCTTAAGAAGCATTTCTTTTTAATAATTCAGCATAAATTAAAAATACCAACCAGATATGTAATCTAAAGCTTAAGATGATTTGGGATATGACCCAGGGGTGCCCTTTTTACATTATTTTTATTTGCTTAACCTTTGTTTTTAAATCACCATTAATATGCTTTACTAAGGCTTAAAGTAGAGTTAAAATTTATATTACATATCAGAAGAGCCTTATTTTTGCTGAGATTAGAGCTTTTAACTAGAAAAGTGATCTGGGTTTTGATTCTCTTTTCTAAGAGTACTAAATATCAGTGAATTGGGCCTTGACCTACCGAAATGAAGATTATTCCTGGCTTGTTAAATTGGGGGGCCCAGAAGTTAATAGGAGGTCTAAAAGTCCTGTACACATTAGTAACTTGATATTGATATTGTTGATTTTATTTTGACAGAAATAGCCATCAGATCGGGGGATGTGTCAAGAAATGTACTAGGCATTTTGAGTATTTCTACCTCTTAGAGTTTTTAGTTTCTTAGAGACTGCATGAAATAGAGGAAAGAATCTTTGGAGTCAGAAAGACCTAGAATTTGAATCGCGGCTCCACTACTTATTAACTTAGTGATTCAGGCCAGCTGCTTAACTTCCCAATACTTCAGTTGCCTCTTTACAAAATGCCCTCTGGTTGCTACACAGGGCAATGGCAAAATACTCCTAGAACTGTGAAAATCAAGTAACATCAGCAAAGAGTGGATAAAATTAGATATATGCAGAAGGTGCTTTAAAAACTGGCAGTCTCCCAGGTCAAAAACAGGAAAGAAAAGGTCTTCTTCAGTCGAAGATGAACTCTTGAGGATGTGGCTCATTTCTTATCTGACCTTGGATGCCCGGTACCTAGTATAGTGCCCAGCAGGTTGTAGGTACTTTGAATGTTTTTGATTGGATTAAATAGATGACATTAACGTGTCTAAAGAAAGGCTGTGTCAGCAGAAATGGAATGGATGGTCAGCATTGAACATTGAAAAAGAATTGAAAAGCAGAATTTGGCACTGTTTATACACTACTGTACAAAGGGAAAAGATACATCATCTGGGGTTCACGAAAATTCTGGTAACTAGAAAGGTAGTCTCTAGGGGCTGGAATATTTGATTGGTCCTCGCCATGGCCTGGCTGAAAGAACCGTATCCCTTCAGGGATTCTGTATTCATCAAGTATTCTGATCATTCATTTAACTTCCCAAGTATTGATGTACAGGTGAGAGTGTACCTGTAGCCTTAACTGAGAAGGCTGTGTTCTCCTTTGTAGATAAATAAATTGGCAAGGGGGAGATTATGATCAGTACTATAAAAGTCTGGTTAGCCTGATAATATATTTTATAATGAAAATTACTAAAATGTAGTTCTGGTTTACAGTTGATCACTTTTCGAGTTTAGTTTGAGGCTTCTCAACCTGAGGTTTCTCAAACTGTTGACTGCAATGAGTTCAGTAAGGTAGTGTCTTATTATGATCCCTTTCCTCTTTACGTCCAGCATTTATGTTGCTGCCCTTCTCAACCCACGAATCTCTTTAAATCTTCTATTCCCAACACAAAATTTGAGCATAAAAAGAATGTTTTGCTAATTTCATAGTGTAGCACTTGAGAGACTTTCTGCTTTAGTGTACTGAGTGCGTGGCCTGTATTAGTCTCTCTATTAAACATTAGGTTTTTTACCTCTGATTTTCTTATAACTGTTTTTGAATTATGTAGAGGATATTCTTTTTTTTTTTTATTTCAGATTGGAGTTTTATTTATTCAAAAAACATTAGTATGACATAACATATACTTACATTTTATCTATTTCTCCAAAAATCCTACACATTCAGATTAGGGTGCGTGATTTATCTATGTAATGACATATATTGCAAAACTATATTAGGCCACTGTTTTAGGCACTTGTGGCCTCTGCTCTGGGGGTTCAGAAACTTCTTTGTCCCTGGGAAGGTATGGCACCAAATATCTGGTCATTATAATCAGAAATCATATTTTGTTGTTGTTGTTTGTTGGTTTTTTGTTGTTTGTTGTTTTCTTGGGGGGTTTTGTTTTGTTTTTTGCATCTCCATCTAGTTTGTAGAGGATATTCTTAATAAAAACTGATGTGTTGGTAAAAATGTCAATTTGGGGATAGTTATACATACACACAACCTTATGTAAAGGGTGCTGGAGAACTACTGATGTCTAGTTTGGAGACGGCTGGAAAATGGAAAATGACAGGCTTATTTAGAAAAGTGCAAATTTCAAAATGCAGAAATTACCTTGTGAATTAGCAGATGTGAACTAAGCTGCTATGTTAGTTTAGAAAATAGTCCATCAAGCCTTAATGCTGTTTGAATCGTTGGCTCCTTTAGGCTTAAATACCTTAAAAGCCTTTCCTTTAGGCTTAAATACCACCTTAGAGAGGCTTTCTCCTGACCACCTTATTTTATTCTAAGGGTTTGAGAGACCTTTGCTAACCACTCTATGTAGGTCCCCTCTACCACGGTACCCTGTTCATTTCTCTTATAGTACGTATTACAAGTTCCCATTATATTATTTGTTCGTTTATTTATTCATTTGCTTACGCCACTGTATTTATTATAAACTCCTCAAAGGCAAAGATAGTAGCCGATACATGAATTTATACTATCATACTTGGAAGATTAAGTTAAACATTGATTCTGTGCCTTTCTGTGCTTAGCTACGTTGATATTTTTTCCTTCATATTTTTCAATTACAAGATATTATTTTTAAAAATTCAAAGAATTCAAGTGTATATAAAGTAAAATATGGGGAGCCTGGGTGGCTCAGTCGGTTGGACATCTGACTTCGGCTCAGGTCATGATCTCACCGTTAGTGGGTTCGAGCCCCGCGTCAAGCTCTGTGCTGACTGTTAGCTCAGAGCCTGGAGCCTGTTTCAGATCCTGTGTCTCCCTCTCTCTCTGACCCTCCCCTGCTCACGCTGTTTCTCTCTCTCTCTCTCAGAAATAAATAAAACAGTAAAAATTTTTTAAAAATAAAATGAGATAAAATATGATAGTTGTCGTTAACATTTTTACTCCCCAGAGAAAATCAGACTGTGTGTGTGTGTGTGTGTGTGTGTGTGTGTGCGCGCTAAATACATAGTTTAATGCTAATGATGATGCTAAAAGTTGTATGGTCTGGATATACTTCAGGGACTCAGTAAAGGAGAAGAACGGGCATGCCTTTCTTAGAAATGGTTTTGACTTGATGAAGTGGACATATTTTTAGATGGGAGGGTCTGCAGGAGGAGTGGAGAGACGGCAACAGCTCCTCAGCTGAGGGCCGCCAGCAGTGTTTCTAGGAGAAGCGGCCCCATGCTCCTGGTTCAAAGTTACATTTTGGCCAGTTTATTTTTATGGTCATAGATGCTTGAGTTCAGAGTTAATGTTTGGTATCTTTGAGCATCTTTAAAAATATAAAAGGGGGGGGTCTTTAAAAATGTATTTCGTTTTCATTACTCAGCCATAAAAAAAAGTATGAGATCTTGCCATTTGCCACAATATGGATGGACTTAGAGGGTATTATGTTAAGTAAAATAAGACAGAGTAAGACAAATACCATATGATTTTATTTATATGTAGAATCTAAAAAACAAACAAAAAAGCCAAAACAGACCCATAAATACAGAAAACCAGCTGATGGTTATGGGGGTGGGAGGGCGGGCAAAATGGGTGAAGGGCTTGGGAGGTACAGGCTTCTAGCTGCAGAATGAAAACGTCACGGGGATGAAAGTTAAAGCGTAGGGACTATAGTCAGTGGTATTATAAATGTGTGTGGTGACGGATGGTAGCTACACTTGTGAATGTAGCATGATGTATAAAGTTTCCAAATCACTCTGTTGTATACCTAAAACTAATGTAACATTGTATGTCAATTATACTTCAGTAAAAACACATAAAGAAATTTCATATAGGTGTTAGATTTTAAAATTTACTCACTTCATAAATTGGAAAGCAGAATTTTTAAAATTGCCTTTTTAAAAATCTAATTAGAAAATTAGAATGATGGGGGTGCCTGGGTGGCTCAGTCTGTTGAGCATCCGATGCTTTATTTCAGCTCAGGTCATGATCCCAGAGTTGTAGGATTGAGCCCCACATCCCTTAGTGTGGAGCCTGCGTGGGGTTCTCTCTCTCTGCCCCTCCCCCCCAATAAAAAGAAGATTGGAATGATGAGCTTTTAAGCCCACATTTAACCCCATGATTTTATTAGTAGCAAAAGTTTGAAAACTTAAGAATTTAAAAATGTTTCACTTTAACATAATTTTTAAAAATTAAAGATTGCTTCTTAAAGAGGAAAAAAATCAGATAAACCAAAAGAAAACACATCCATAATACCATTGCTGTATGTAATGGTTTAGATAGGAGAACTGAAGATTTTTAGGAGGAAGGATTTGAGGAAGACAATGTTTGGACAGAGATTATTGATGATGGTGGTATAAACTTTTTTCTACATTTATACATACAGATTATATGTTGAATATGAATATTTTACTGTTTACTGTGGAGAAACAAGTGAATTATAAAGTAAAATTGGGGCACCTGGGTGGCTCAGTGGGTTAAGCATCTTGCTCTTCAGACTTCAGCTACGTCATGATCTCACAGTTCGTGAGTTCGAGCCCCACATTGAGCTCTGCTAACAGCACGGAGCCTGCTTGGGATTCTCTCTCTCCCTCTCTCTCTGCCACTCCTTCGCTTGTGTGCACTTTCTCTCTCTAAATAAATGAATTAATTTAAATAATTTTAATAAAGTAAAAATTAATTGAGTACTAATAAGAATATGAATTAGTATAATATTTGCTTAGTGTTTTACCAAGCTATTACTATGCTCTTTTTTTTTTTTTTAATTTTTTTTTTAATGTTTTTTATTTATTTCTAGGAGAGAGAGACAGAGACAGCGTGAGCAGGGGAGGGTCAGAGAGAGAGGGAGTCACAGATTGAAACAGGCCCCAGGCTCTGAGCCGGCAGTCAGCACAGAGCCCGACGCGGGGCTCGAACCCACGAACCGCGAGATCATGACCTAAGCGAAAGTCGGACGCTTAACCGACTAAGCCACCCAGGCGCCCCACCAAGCTATTACTATGCTCTTAAGAGTTTGCTGGGGCACCTGGGTGGCTCAGTCGGTTGAGCGTCCGACTTCGGCCCAGGTCATGATCTCACAGTTCGTGGGTTCAAGCCCCATGTCGGGCTTTGTGCTGACAGAGCCTGGAGCCTGCTTCGAATTCTGTGTCTCCCTCTCTCTCTCTGACCCTCCCACACTCATGCTGTGTTTCTCTCTGTCTCAATAATAAACGTTTAAAAAAAACTTAAGAGTTTGCTTTCTAATGAAACGGTAGAAAAATAATTCATTCTCTTTTTGTAAGATATACTCTTTTAGTAACTTTCAAATAGACAATACGGTATTAACTATAGTCCCCATGCTGTACTTTACATTCCCATTGCTTATTTATTTGATAACTGGAAATTTGTACCTAAAAGTCTTTCCCTTTGTTTTTGCTGTGATTTTTTTTATTAGATTCATGAAGAGGTATAGATGGTTCCATTAGTTCTATTTTATCGGTATTAACACCAAAGAACAGTTATCATTGTGCTGTTTCAGTTAAGTTTTTCTGAAATTGTTTGAGGCGCTGTTAAAAGGAAAAACCTCATTTATACTGTTCATTCATATATATTCATTCAACGAATGTTAAGAGTGATCCTGTCTACCTCGCACTGTGCCAGGCCCTGGAAATAGAAAGTCAAATAGACCAGTGACCTTTTCCTGACTTTGAAAGGCTAGTCTACAAGGGGAAACAGAAAAGTACGCTAAATTACCCTGTAGTGTGATTAGGGCTGTGGTGTTCGTATGCATAGGAGTAGCAAGGAAGGTCCCTACCTATCCGCTCCTCTGAAGAATGCTAGAGAAAGTGACACCTAAATGGAGTTTTAAAGAATATGTAGCAATTATTGGCCATTGGGAACCAGGGCATTTTGGTGGTGGTGGTTTGTAAAACTCAAGTTAGGGCATGATGTGAGATGTGCGATAGGAGAGAATACAAGGGTTATTCGTATCTGCCGTGAAAAAGGAACTTGGAATTTACCTTATGGTTTTTGGGGAACCGTTAAAAGTGCAGCTCTGAAGGTAGTATGGAGGCGGGATTTAAGAACAAGATAGGAGGGAAAACCAGTTAGGAGGTGGTGGCAGTAATTCGGACAGGAGACAGGCCTGAACCAGGCCAGTTGTAGAATTGATGGAGACAGACGCAGTGGAGAGCCGTACGATGCTGACGGGGCCCTTCTGCAGAGTGTACAGTCCCTGTTTCCTGATCTCTAATACCATTTTTTTGGTTCCTTGCCAACAAGTGGAAGTGTCTGCACGCCAAAGGAAATAATTTGCCTACTTTTTCCTCCTAACCAGTTGTTGATGCCATGGCTTTCTGTAAGAAAAGACTGCAGATCTGTGAGATTTGTAGTAACACAATCTGACCTCCGGTAGAGGTTTAATATCAGTGGAAAGGGAAGGTTTAAGCTTTGGAATGATACACAGGATTCAAATCCTGACTCTGCCACTTCTTAGCTGTTTGATCTTGGGAGAATTGCTTAAACTGAGCTTGTTTCTATTTCTGTAAAATGGGACTTAGTTGTGATGAGAAAATGAAACTATGTAAAGTTCCAGCTCAAAGCTGGGTAGATAATAGAGGTTTTGATTTATGTATCTTTCCCTTAAGCAACAGAACATGCATACTCCGTGGAGCCACATATTGCTCTCAAGGGGGGTGAATTTGTTTTTGGGGAGATGTAGAGGGTAAAAAAAAAAAAACTTTTAATGAGTAAAACTCCGATATACTGCAGTTCATAGATAAATAGTATATCTGTAGTATTCAAATGTAATGAAAGAGGCAGTTTAGGAATATAATGTCTTAAAAGGATCCTTAGAAACAATAAAAAAAAAAAAACAACGAAAAAAGAAGGATCCTTAGGGGAACAGAATGAAAACAAGGTTAATAAACACCCCAATAGAGTTCTAATTGGTAGGAGTTCTGCCTGCTTAAATAAGGAATAGTAAGGTATGTAAAACACTAAGAAATATCATTTTTTTTACTACTATTTAATGGTGGTCAGTTCTGAAGAATTCACTGTGTTGAGACCTGTTCCGACTTTTACCATTAAAAGTATGGGGCGCCCGGGTGGCATAGTTGGTTAAGCGTCCGACTTTCGCTCGGGTCATGATCTCGCGGTTCGTGGG